TTTTTTTTTTTGATGTTGAGCTTCAGACCATTTTTTGCACTCTCCTCTTTCACCCTCATTACAGGGTTCTTTAATTTGGTTTAGATTATACCTGACTAGCCCAGTGGACAGTTGTACCTTATTGTATTTAATGTGTTTTGGCGTTGCTTTTGTTTTTCAGTACTGTATTCATTTGATCTTTTTAGTATTGTATATCCACTGTTTTTAGCTTGTTTTAAGCCATCTTTAGCCCTGTTAAAGGAGAAAGGTGGAGTACAAACAAAGAAATGAGCATTTGTGAACTTCGCCTACTTCTTCAGATGAGTAAACTTCAGTATTCAAGCAACAAGTTTGTCACAGCTAATCATCATCATCATCACATGCCATCAAGTCAATTTTGACTTGGGCAGCCCTTTTTCAGAGTTTTCCGGATAGAGAATACTCAGAAGTGCTTTATCATTCCCTTCTTCTAGGGGCACTTGGGACTGTGTATCTTGCCCAAGGCCACATAGACTGGCTCTGCTTTGCTGGAGGCACAGTGCAGAATCAGACTCCCAGCTTCTGACTCTGCAGGGTGGACTTATAAACCCTGCGGTTTGCATACTGACATGTGTTTTTCCCCCTTCCTTTGTGGACTCATTTTTAAACTTTGGCTCCCAAACAGAATATCACTACTTTCTGTTTTTGTTTCTAATACCTAAAAATAAAAAAGACAGCCCCACCTAGACTGCAATTCTTTCCTTTTGGGTGTAGCTCAAGTTTCATTTTATGATCTGGTTGAAATGCATTTCATAAGACCTCGTAAGAAAACAGGATCTTTTAAGTCCATTGTGTGCAAGATGGTGCAGATGTTTCTGATTTTCATCATAAATCTACAGATTTAACATGGATATTTTGCTTCTCTCTTTAGTTAGTAATGGTGAGCCCAACATCAGAACAGTATGATAGCTTGCTGCGGCAGATGTGGGAAAGAATGGAGGAAGGCTGTGGAGAGACCATCTATGTCATCGGACAAGGATCAGGTGAGTGTGGTTTCCTTGTCACTACAGAAAGTAAAGGGTTAAAAGGTGCAGGGGCTTAATAAAAGTGGTTTGACATATGGAGTTTCAGGGGTGGCGTAATGTAATGGTATTTAGCTCTCTAAATGCCGTGTAGCCATGTTAGTATCTTCTGGCAGCAATGAAAACAAAGCAAAGACAAAATCATTCCAACACTTTTGAGACTAACAAAGTTATTTTTTGGGGGGAAGCTTCCATGTTCTTTTTATGCATGTATATGTGTTTGATTTTGATTTGCCATTTAATTTTGAGTAAAAGAAATTTAAAATAGCCAAGCGAGTTGAATTGCCCTTAGTGTTTGCCCAGAACACTAATTGGTTCCAATCCTCAAAGGCAGTAATAACAACAGCAAATTTGTAAAACTTCCCATTGTATTTTGGGACTGGAGTAAGAGCATGCACATTCTCTTTCACTGTGAAGTCTGTGTGCTAGTAAGGCCTTGCTGGATCGTCTTGTTCACACGAGAGCTCAAGAAGGTAGGTCTGCAAATCTGAGGGACCTGCCTTTCATACCAGCATGACTTTCTTTTGCAGTACTAGGCAGTGGTGACCCTTCAGATTTTTAAAATTTATTATTTATATATTTAAAATATTTATATGCCACCCCAAGGTGGCTTACATCATTGAAAAGATGTTTTTGTATTGTCACTCTTGTCAGTCTTAGCCAGCGTAGCCAGTGATTTGAATTTATGGTAGCTCTTGTCCAGCAATGTTGAGAGGGCTGCAGTTGCCTAGCCCTGTTGTATGTCCTTCTTCCTGCATCTTCAATAAGTAGAGCCAGGAGCTTGTGGAGGGTTGAGTGAAACCTGGTGGCTGTAGGAGATTCTAGCTTTTCTTTTACTCTCCTCCTTGTTCATTCTGGAACATCTCTGCTTTTCAGCCACAGGTAAAAAGGCCAGTGGTGCTCATCCTTCCTTTAGTGGATATGTTTTAAATTCTACAGTGATGCCTCACAAGACAAATGCCTCGCACAACGAAAAACTTGCAAGACAAAAGCGTTTTGCGATATATTTTTTTGGTGACTCGCAAGACAAGTTTTTCTACGGCTGTGCTTCGCAAGATGAATTGGGACACACTAATTAAATTTCAGTGCATTTCTATGGGAAACCGTGCTTTGCAAGATGAAATTTTCACAATACGAAGCGTGCTTCGCAAGACGAATTGGAACACACTGATTAAATTTCAGTGCATTCCTATGGGAAACCGCGCTTTGCAAGATGAAATTTTCACAATACGAAGCGACTCACGGAATGAATTATTTTCATCTTGCGAGGCATCACTGTATTTCCCTCAAATTACTTGATGGTCTTTTAAAGTGAGAAGTCCTTGTTTTCTCAGTCCATCACTCCTGTTCTGTGTATGGCAAGCCCCGTTCAATAACAAGGTATGATTGTCTTAATGACAGAGAAATTCCTAGACTGGGAGATAAGAAAATGCTGAAGCCAAATGTTCTTTTTCCCCCCGTTCTTGCCAATATTCAACAGATGGGACTGAGTATGGGCTCAGTGATGCGGACATGGAAGCTTCCTATGCTACAGTGAAGAGCATGGCAGAGCAAATAGATGCTGATGTGATCCTTTTGCGGGAGCATCAAGAGGCAGGAGGCAAAGTCCGTGACTATCTGGTCCGGAAGCGTGTGGGAGACAATGATTTCCTAGAAGTCAGGTAAGAAGATAGTTGAGAGCAGGCTTAGTCAGCAGCACGTCCACTACTGCAGTCTGTCCAGTTAGTAATGATGCGAAGCTGGTAACTCTGACTATGGGGGTAACTCCACTTCTGCCTGCTAATTAAATTTTTTCTTGCCTCTATGCTTTGCTGTCCTTCCGCAAGCAAAGACCTTTCTCTTAGGCAAGCTGTCCCTCAGTAACTAGCTACCTGTGTGTGAATTTGGATAGATTGCTATGCTTTACTGATTTAATTGGATTTTTAGTGCTACTTGTTTTCCATTTTTGTGTTTTCCATTTCTCAGAGTGGCATTTTAAAAAAATTATTTGTATACTTAGTGATCTTTGCCTTAATATTGTCTGTTAATGGTGTAAGATGCCTCTTTATTCATTGTTCATAGTTTTAAATATTGTCTTTTAATGATGTTAACCACCATTGTAGACTAATTGTTTTCAGCTTTAAATACAGTGGTGCCTTTGCGAACGCAATTGGTTCAGGAAGATGGGCGTAAGTTGAAATGGTCGTAAGTCGAAGGACCATTTCCCATTGGAATACATTGAAATACAATTAATCCGTTCTGGCCGAAGAAAAACATCACAAAAAAATCACTGCAAAACCCGTTGGAAACAT